ACCTGTACTTTGTTTACAATTTGACATGGATAGACAGACAGACGGACGGACGGACATGCATAAATCGACTTAGAAAGTGATTCTATGCATATTCTCAAAAGGAACCATGTGTCTATCTCGTTTCCTTTTGCCTGTTACAAACATACGCACAAAGACATAATACCCTGTACCACAGTGTGGTGAAGGGTATAAAAATTCAACATAGGTTTTTATGTTAAGACCAGATAATGTACGACTGGGCTACCTAGTATGGCAATTCCTTATTTTTTCTCCAAATTTTGGAAACATTTCAATTAAGACAAAACAAAGCATTTCGGCATGTCTTTTGTGATGCTAAACCAAATCGAAACATATATATTTTTGATAACAAAAAAAAAACATGATCAGTTTTGCTAAACAAGATTATTAAATTTTCATAAAAACCACATAAAAATTAAGAAATTATTTTTAAATGTCAAATATAAAAAAAAAACTTGATCTGTAAGCAATAACGTGAGAAAAAGAGTTCAAATATTCATAAGTGCCATAGTGCCATATTGAAATGTTTCACTGCAATGGCGTTTTGATTTGATAATCTCCCCCCCCAACACAAGAATCATAAATATAAACAAAAACAATAACGCAAAAAACAAAACTATATTTATTTCTACACCATTTTCAAGACAAAATAAGAAAAGGTGATTTTCGAAATTAATAAAACATTGATTTTTATATGAATTTTATGTGTATTGCGGCGTTCAGCCCGAGACACAATGTTCGAATAATTAAAAATGTTAATTATTCATAATAAATCAAATGATTGACGGGGAACACAACCAACCAGACGACCAACCAACCAATCGTAAAATATTTCACATCATGAATCCACAAATTGGAGGTAAGCATCAGGGTATCAGCGATATAAATGTCTTAGACATTATTTACTAGCAGCAGCAGCAACAGCAGAAATGGCTGTACCATAATTTATATGTTAAATACAAATTTCAATATTAGTTCCCATAAAGATGTAATTCGTAATTCAAATTCAAACAAGTGAATGCGGAGGAGGGCTGCTCTTGTATAAGCCCTTCAGCTTGAGGAAATTAAAAAAAAAATTACCCAATGCAAATGGTCGAAAATGTCAAATTGCATCCAAATCTGATAAAAGATACTTTTTATTTTGAAATTGCATTTAAATAATAACAATTCTAATATAATCTCCACCATATATTATATTAGTTATAAAAACGTTGAAGAGTACCAATGAACGAAACTTCCAATATCTTAAAGAGGTGGGTATTTAAAATACCAGCCATCGTTCGGGATATTTATATATGTCAAAATATGGATCTTCATAGTAAAGTGGCTTACCAGTATGTCTTTTATCCTCTGACAAAGTACAACACTTTAGACACTAAGTTTGGAAAAACTAAGAGTATGGAACCTTTAAATGGGATTATCACAAAGCATGAACCCCTTTTTCGAAGATGATTTTTTACCAGGTAATTATTCATATGGAAAATTACACCCATTTCGGTTAGAAAATTCGTAAAGGACATTCAAAAAACCTCAAGTGGAATGTGGCCTTTATACGAAGACTATGTTCAAAAAATTACATATGTATATTTGAAATTTTCTGTGAAGAATCCGGTGTTGGAAAACGGACCTGGGATTTTTTCACATATTTGCATTGGAGTTGGACTTATATATATGTAAACAGGAACCTATACTAAAATTTTTTTCTACGATTTTTTTACTCAAACCTAAACTCGGAGTACTAAACTACAGTTACTTCGGTTGAAAGGGTCATCAACATTTTGTAAAGCGGCGCAGGAGTTACATATAGGTGATTTTACTAAACAGTAGGAAAGGTAGTAAAGTCGGTCTATATTTGGAAGCCAATTAACACGATTTTCACGAAACTTAGCACATGTCATTCAAGGCTTTATACAGTACGCTGTGCCAAATTTCGTGTAAATCGAAAGATATATAGGGACTTTGGTGCAATATTTTCATAAAATCGGACGAAAATGTATATGAACAGATTTTCACGAAACTTACCACACATTATTCTAGGTCTGATTCAGTACCCCAAGCATATCTATATCAAAATCTGAACCGATTTTCACAAAACTTAAAACACATCATTCTAGACTCAATTTAGTACGCTATGTATGTATGTATATTTTGTCCAAATCGATAGATATATAGGGACTTTGGTGCACCATTTACATAAAATCGGACGAATATATATGCGAACTATATCTAAATCGGAACCGATTTTCATGAAACTTAACACACATCGTTCTGCAAATTGAAGGATATGTGGGGCTTTGGTACATCATTTCCATTAAATCGGTCGAACATATATATAGGAGCTATATCTAAATCTGAACCGATTTTCAAGAAAATTTACACACATCATTCTAGACTCAATTCAGTACGCTATGCCAAATTTCGTGTAAATCGGAAGATATATAGGGAATTTGTGCACACCATTTACATTAAATCAGACGAAAATATATATGGGAGCTCCATCCAATTTCAATTGGGTTCATCCTTGGGCCAAATTTCATCCAATTTGGATCATAAATGCGACCTGTACTCTGTTTACAATTTAACATGAACAGACAGACAGATGGACGGACGGACATGCATAAATCGACTTAGAAACTGATTCTATGCATATTCTCAAAAGGAGCCATGTATCTATCTCGTTTCCTTTTGCCTGTTACAAACATATGCACAAAAACGTAATACCCTGTACCACAGTGTGACCTCTACTTAAAATTTCTTAAGAATAAGTTTTTTTTTGCTCACCAAGAGTCAGGAATGCTGCATAGGTTAAAAATAGTGCAAACACCATTAAAATATTTAAAATATGTTGAGGCCTATGTTGATTTTTTTTGAAGATATTTTTATGAATGAATGACAAACTACATCCAAACTGCGCCCCGGGCCATCTATATAGCCAAAATAGTGTGGGACCTTTGGCCATGGCACATCTTATCCGTTTGCAACACATAAAAAATAATCATAGAAGACTTCGTCGATTTAGCCATTTAGGAATCACGACAGAGATCACAATAACTAAACTAGAGATCTGAAAATTTGCTCAGACATTCTAGGATGTTTGGCAAATGGTGTATATCCGCCACGTTTTGTTATTGCCTTCATACAACGCCACATTGTTCCACCGAATTAGCTATAATTCTTTACAAAAAAATTATTAATTTTGACCCAAGTTACACCGTGTTTTTCCAAAGAATTCGCTGAAATTTGGTACCTTGAGTTCTTATTGGGTACTAAATGTCTCCACAAAAAATTATGAGTATAGGTCCTCTGAATATAGATCAATTTTTACGGGTAGCCCCCATATAAGGGTACCCCCAATATTCGGTATTTTGGGGATCTTGAGCGCGTTTTCAACCAAATTCGCTGCAAGTTGGTATTTTGTAGTCGTATATGGTAACAAATCTCCCTACCAAAAATTATTTATATTCGCCCCCTTTTTGGGGTAGTCCCCATATAACCCCCTTTTTATATTAAAATAGTTAGCTAATTTGTTCCGCGTTTTGGGTTTGGTTCTAAGAGTCTGTCGTAATCATTTAACATGCGGAGGATATCGAGATAAAGCTCGAACGTAAGGTTCGATAATGAACTATACATTTAGGCCTAGCCCCTGTGTGGGAGATATCAGAAGGAGTGGACCGATAGTCCACATAATTGAACCTGAACTAACTTTGGAAGAAATAATAAGATAGGCACAGGTTGGATGAAATCAAAATTTTCTGGAACATGGTTCACATTATGGTTTACATAATCGCCTTGTAGAAATGTCGGTATAGGTCCACTTTTTGGTATTTTTCCTACATTTTCATTTCAAGTACCTGTCAGTATATCTATGGTGGATGGTATCCAAAGTTCGGCCCGGCCGAACTTAACGCTTTTCCACTTGTTTGTTTTAATATATTATTGTGATAATGATCTCCCTAAGTTTGTCCGATAGACATGAACATATGTTGGTTCATCCATATATATGTTATTCCGCTCATTTTCAAGTCCAAGGTCCACCAAATTCCGATCGATATTTTGCTTGTATGTGAACAATAAGATACAACAAAAATGAAACACAAATTTCGGTTTATATATGTAATTTCAATTTTACATCAATACAGTTTTAATTTCCCCCGGCCTATATTCAAACGTGGTAAAAAAATACTAGAGTTTTCTTACAACCAACAATTTGTTGGGACTAACCAAACTTCTTAAAATTCTAGACATGTCATTGTATTCGAAATAAAAAAAAAATAAAACATTAATCGAATCATTAAAGTGCACATACGTATATGTATGTCTACTAAATTAGATAAAAATCAATATATTTCGTTATAGATGTTCAAATCAAATAACAACATGATACTAACAATACTAAATACATATGTATGTATGTAGAAGTCTACATATTTATTAGCAGGTTGGATAATGTCTTCTAATTTGTTGGATGCTCCACGTTCGATTATGAGGCTATGTTGTTGAAGTTGTTATGTGTGGATGTGTGTGAGTGTGTAATTATGCGACAGGCGACATGTTTACAAAATAATCGGTGACAAATGTTATTGAACATTTTTACCACATTTTTGTCTCGGAATTTTTTTTGTGTTTTTAGCACAAACAACAACAATACCAAATGAATAAGTTTTTGTTATTATTAATATTTATGTATAGATGTGTTCGATGTGAAAAAAAATAAAATACAAAAAAAATGTTGTGGGAAAATTTCACAGATTCCATCTGCACCTATATGTCGTTATGTGTGTTTAACTTGAACTTACACATGTTCATATTGATACCATAAATAATGACATGAATTTTAAATTGAGGTGTTTTTTCATCTTCTTCTTTTTATATTTTATTTATATTGTTTATGTTTGTGGTCGGTCTATGATTAATTTATGATTATGTTTCGTTTTTTTATTATTATTTTATTTTCTTTATTGTGTTTTTATTTATATTTTCAGAGCAATCCTTATGGTTTGAAGGACACAACAACGGGTACTGATATGTCAGCATGGACATCGGCTGGATTGCAGTCAACTACCGGTTATTATTCATACGATCCAATGTCTGCGTATGGGTAAGTAATTTTTATAATACACATACATATATTTTTTATACCAATGAACGTCATTCAAATATTTCTAACGGTTATTTTTAGAACGGAGAAAATATATTTTAGAAATACACATTGAGTCAGAAATATATTCAAATTTTTAGGTGTTTTATTTGATTTTTTGAAAATATAAATAAACTAGATGAACTGTTTTATACCCTACACAACTATGTTGTCAGGGTATTATAGCTTTGTGCAGCCCCAACATTTTGTAACGCCGCGAAATATTGGTCCTAGACCCACCTTTAAGTATACCGATCGTCATATCTCAACTAGCTGAGTCGATCTAGACGTGTGTGTCCGTCCGTCGGTCCTTCCATTATAATTTGTAAACACGATACAGGCCCCAGTTATGGACTTCACGAAATTTTGCATCTAGGATGGATTCTGGCCAATGAAGACCCCTATTGTTTTTGGTAAAGATCAGTTAAAGATCGGTTAATATTTAGGGGATGAAATGGACCAAATACTAAATTTTTTCGGTTTTTCTGGTCGCTCCAGAAATATGGTCCGAACCGTGAAATTTTTGGAGAAGGGTATCGAGTCATATCTCAACTAGAATAAGCATGCCTGTTTTGATAAAGATACAGGCCCCAGTTATACTTCACGAAATTTTGCATCTAAATGGACCCTGACTATTGTTTTGTAAAAATTACAAAATTTTTATTTGGGGATGAAATATATAATTTTTTCGGATGGACATATACTCCAGAGGCCGCAGTTATATATCCGAACATCGTGAAACTTTACCTGGAAATTGATACCAATTATATGGCTGTTTGTAAAGACTCAATATGTGGGAGTTATACTCTGACTTTTGTGTGAAAAATGTGACAAAGTTTTATTTGCATTATATATACTTTTACTATAGACATTAGAGGACGAAATGTAGCGTGATCGCTTTGAAATTGTTGACCTTGAATTGATACCAATTATATGGTCTGGACTGATGTGGGAGTTAATTTTAGGTGAAGTTGAGATTTCATTCAGGTTGTGCAATGTAACCGAAAACTTTGAATTTTGTACATGAATTTCCGATTATGGTCTAGAGGCAATTATTATATGCAGAGCATCACAAATTTTACACGGTGAAGTTTTTCTGACCAAATACTTATAGCGGCTGTTTAGATGATGATCGGTCATTTTTCCGAGGGTCAACACAACCAAAACCTAAAGTGACCAATTTTTTATTTTATGTCGTAAAAATTCACTTCAAGAAAAAACATTTTGGAAAATATGCAAGACTTAGAAAGTGGAGTTATTGAGAAAAGGGTGCAAATATCACGAAATATTGCCCAGGCTCAGAATATAGAAGCGCCGAAAGTTTGCTTTTCGTGGTAGTTGTGTAGGGTATCATATGGTCGGCCCCGTCCGACTATACTGCTCCGCTCACTGGTTAAGAAATATAGATTGCGTCAGAAATATATTTGCATTTGTAGGTTTGAAAATATATAAATAAACTAGATGAAGCTTTTTTATACCCTCCACCATAGTATGGGGGGTATATTAATTTTGTCTGTCCGTTCGTCTGTTGTAATCATGCTATCTTCTGAAGGAATTGAGATTGGGTGCTGAAATTTTGCATAAGTTTGTCTTTTGTCTGCAGGCAGTACCTCCAAATTTTTGGGGGTTTTGATCGTAGTTTTAGAATTGGCTGTAATTTAGTATTTCCACATTTAGTATTTCCACAAAAAATTATAAATATAGGTAATTTTTTTCGGATAGCCTCCATATAAGGGAACCCCCAATTATCGGTATTTTGGGGTTCTTGAGCGCCCTTTTCAATTGAATTCGTTGCAATTTGGTATTTTGTAGTCGTATATGGTAACGAATCTCCCTACCAAAAATGTTTAATATTGGCCCCCTTTTTGGGGTCGTCCCCATTTTTATACCCTCCACCATAGTATGGATGGTATATTAATTTTGTTTTTCCGTTTGTAACAAATCTCTGTACTAGAAATTATAAATATAGGTCAATTTTTTCGGGTAGCCCCTGCAATTTTCGTTATTTTGAGGTTCTTGAGCGCGTTTTTTAACCGAATTCGCTCCCCAAAAATTATTAATATTCCCCCTTTTTAGGGGTAGTCCCCATATAACCCCATTTTTTATATTAAAATAGTTGTATGATTTGTTCCGTGTGTTGCGGTTGGGTAGTCGTTACGGGGAATAGTCAATTTTTACCCTACAAAGACTATTTAGCCATCTGTTGCAAGCATTCCGCCTTCTAAAGGTATTGTGATAAAAGAAACCTCAAACATGACGATAATGAAATATATCGGCAGACATTTAGGCATCTCCTTAATAAAGTGATACTTCCTGAAGGAAAGAATTGAGAAAAACAATTAAAATATTGGGATCAATATTGGCATATATAATTATATATATTGGCATTATAATTAATTAGGCATAGCCCTTATATAATGATATCCCCAAATATTCACCATTTTCCTTCACTATGTAATCAATATTAGTCCCCCTTTAGGCATAGCCTCATATAACTTTGTAATCTAAATTACAGTAGTTTGAGGATTTTATACTCTACCATGCGTTATCAGTATCAGTCCACTTTTTGGATCTTGCAGATTTTACGAAAAATCCCCATTAAATTTGTATTTGGTGTTCATAATGGTTTACATAAATCGGTTTGTAGAATTATCGGTATATACCCACTTTTTGGTATGGTCCCTATATTTTCATTACATGTATCTCTCAGTATGACTATGGTGGAGGGTATCCAAAGTTCGGCCCGGCCGAACTTAATGCTTTTTCACTTGTTTATATTAAAATGTTTATATGATTTGTTCCATGTTTGGGGTTGTTTCTAAGACCCTGTTGTAATCATTTCATCTGCAGAAGATACGAAAAAAAAAACTAGAACATAAGGTTCGATAACTAACCTTATATATATTTATATATATGAACTGTAACCCGCATTTACGCCTATCCCCTGTGTGGGAGGTACTATAAGGAGTGGACCGATATTCCGCATGTTCGAACTTGAACTAATTTTGAAGGAAATAATAAGATGGGCAAAGTTTGGATAAAATCAAAATTTTCTGAAACAAATTGGGTTCAAAGAAAAATTGGGTCTAGGACCAATATTTAGAATCATAATCTGTTTGTAGAAATGTAGGTATAGATACACTTTTTGGTATGTTCCCTATATTTTTATTTCAAGTACCTGTCAGTATATCTATGGTGGCGGGTAACCAAAGTTCTTAACACTTTTTCACTTGTTATATTTTGGATTCTCATTGGGTAGAAAATCTCTCTACCAAAACTTATCAATATTGGCACAATATAGGGCGCATTTATCAACTGAAATCGCTAAAATTTATTTCTTCAGGTTCTCATCTTCCTACCTATTTTTAAAAATAGTTTTTCAACGGTTTGCACAAAGCGTTGATTTTTAGAAATATTTTTTTCAAGGGCCTACACAAGGCGTGGATTTTTTTCCACGGTTTCGATTTTTCATTCGATTTTTCAGTATTTTGAAAGCTATGGCTGCATTTTCCCACCTTAGTGGCTGTTATTTGCTATAAAGAGTTCTTGAAGGCTGATGAATATATATATATATATATAGAATAGTATCACTCTTTTTCTTCGGGACTTAAATACCCACATATCAGTTATATTAGATAATTTGAAAATATAATTCCCCCATTTTTTTACTAAATTAAAAACTTTAGTTTTATGAAGTTGTGAAAATTTGTGTTTAAAAGCGCGAAATTATCTTTTTATGGCAACTAAAACACAAGGGGTTACTCTTCACATTATTTTAAAATAAAGCGAGTCATGAACCTGTTATAAAATTGTCATTATAAAGCACTTCAAATGAAACTATTTTGCATGTTTCGTTCACAGTGGAATAAATGGGAAGGAGAAATGTTTTTTTTTGTTTTTAATTTTTCTGTCGCAGATTGTATAGAGAATATTACACACAAAATGATTTTTGGCGAAATCGTTTTGAATATATGTGAAATGACCCCTTTTACCTCTGCCCTAGGGGGAATAAATAACGTCAATGACAATAGCATTAGCCAGTTAGCGTGTCCATTATTGTGTTGACCATGTTGGCTGTTCGTTGCTCGGTTGGTTTTGCTTGATAATTTAATTGTGGCAAAATATTGGCTTAACATCATTACGTGCACGCACTGGCTATCCGAAAAGTGTCAACAATAGAACATGCATATAGACAGTGTGACCTTTCGGCATATCAAAGACTTTTAATTTTTGTGTGCAATGTTTAGGTAAAATATCCGACCATGTCAATTTATTTTTAATATAATCTTTTAACAAGTAAAAACGTTGTTAATACGTAGTTTTTTAGCCTTCATTATGAGACGAAATATACAATTGCAAAAACCCAGGGGTCTACACAAGGCATGGATTTTTAAAAATATTTTTTTTTGGGTCTACACCAGGCGTGGATTTAAAAAAATATGTTTTTTGGGGTCTACAAAAGGCGTGGATTTTAAAATATTTTTTTAGGTGTCGACACAAGGCGTGGATTAAAAAAAAATGTTTTTTTGGGGTCTACACAAGGCGTGGATTAAAAAAAATATATTTTTTGGGGGCCTACACAAGGCGTGGATTAAAAAAATATATTTTTTGGGGTCTACACAAGGCGTGGATTAAAAAAAAATATATTTTTTGGGGGTCTACACAAGGCGTGGATTAAAAAAAATATATTTTTTGGGGTCTACACAAGGCTTGGATTTAAAAAAAATATTTTTTATAAAAATACATTTTTTCTGAGATCTACCAAGGCTTGGATTTAAAAAATATGTTGTTTTGGGGTCTACACAAGGCGTGGATTTAAAAAATATATATTTTGGGGTTTTTCTGGAGTCTACACAATGCGTGGATTTTCAAAAATCTTTGTTCTGGGGTCTACACAAGGCGTACATTTTTAAAAATATTTTCCTGAGGTATACATAAGGTGTGGATTTTTATACCCTACA